ATGACTGGTTAAATGAACTTTTCAAACAAAAATTGTATTATATTGATTACATTACATTGAATCAGAGTTAATTTGGCACCAGGATTAAAGTTCATCTTCTGATTGGTGCAATGTGTGTTTGTAGTTGCTGGGAGCCCCTGATCTGCCGACGGATGTGTTGGACTGCAGTAACACTGGCTCTGGACTCATGCTGACCAAACCACTAATGCTGAAGACCATAAACACTGAAAAAATCCTTACTGCTAAGTTCAACGTTCCTGTAAGTTGCTGTACTACTGATACAATATGTGACCCTGAACCACAAAACCAGTCATTTTGACATATCGCAACCGAACCTCAAAATTCACTTGCTTATCCATGTTCCACTTGTCCTTGAGGAATAGCGCAAGTACTCTTATGCATTTAATAATAAGCATGTCCCATTTTATGAAACTCACCTTACATGATTTTACTGATTTGCACATTAAGTTTGGGCGTTTAAGGAGGAGCGGAACAGAGCACAATATTCGTTTTATCTCAACTCTCATATTTTTGTTTGTTGGAAGCTAAAATTGAATCTCATTTTCAATTAATCACAGAGCTCTATTATAAACATCATGTTGCCCCTTTTTGTGTCAGTTGAAAAAGAATTTTACAATTCGGCAATGTAAAATTAATTATTTTGTTTATTTTTTTGGTGAATAGTGTATATTGTTCAAAATAAGTTTTCCATTAATTAGTTATTATAGCTTACAGTAAATTATATTAACTGTTTAACCTGCTTAAACCGTTTCTCTTGATATCCACATCATTATATTTATGTGCACCTAGAACCATAAAACCGTGGCGTGTGTGGAACGTCAACTGCGCATCTTGCCCAGCACGCAAATATCTCGTTTGGAGGTCTACAGACAGGAAGAGGGCTCTGATGATGTCATGGTGCTGCAAAATTTAGAACGAATTGATTGGACGGCAGGAGACACACTAGGAAACCTGCACTTCAGACTGTATGACGAGGGCAATAGACTGGTTCCTCTTCTGCCAAATATTACCAGCAAGATTAAGGTTTGAGTTTGATTATATATGTGATTTTGTTTTTGTATTTCATTTCCTTCAGACTGGAGACTTGATCTGTTTGCACTAACATACTATTGTACTCAGTAGTGTGTAGATGTTTGTGTCTTTGTGATGTCTTGCAGGTGAATTGGACCGCAAAGTTAAACGCAGAAGAACTTTCTCAAGGAAAACTGCCAGATTTGTGTGTTCCAACTCAAGCTCAGAAAGAGCATTACTGCGATGTGTCTTTCCACGACCAGCACTCGGTCAACATGTCTTTTTTAATTGTGTAAGCTACACTCATGTGCTGTTTATGTCTGTTTTTCATTATATACCTAAATATTCTTGCAGAAGCATATCTCTATACTGTGTGTGTGTCTCTCCAAAGGCCTCGTCCAGATGAGCCTGAGCGTTTGCGGGTCAACCTCTTTGAGTCGTCTGTCAAAATGGGCGAAATTCTCTCAGGAAACATATGTAAGTACCATCTATAGATTTTGTCTTAATTAATAATAATAATAAAATTTGATCTGTATTGACCATCGCCTGGTAGAAACATGTAATATAAAAGACTACTTTCAAAAACATTAACAAATCTTACTGACCACAATTTTTTAAATGGTAGTGCAAGTTTGTCACACAAATCTATTGTATGACTTCAGGCAACTTGTGATATAGCACTCAAGTTTGTATGGTCTACTTGTCTTTTATGAAACTGTCCTGATACTTTTATGTTGCTTTTGGGTTTTGCTAAAGGATCAGACTTGCTTAATTGTATTTGAATGGAGAAGAGTACATTGGTCAAAACTGATTCTTCTATGATCCACTGATGAAAGAAATGCATGTGTTTGGAAAGATTGCTTCTTTACCCTTGTAAAAAAAAAAAAGTAAACTTTAGCACATTTTTAAAAAAGAGTGCATATCACGGAAATGATATACTTCACATTCAGTTCACACTTAAGTATATTCTTAATTATAAAACTGTTAGTTCCAGTCCTTGATTCTGATTGGTCAATATGTCAAAAATGTTTTCAGACACTTGATTGCATGTTAATTGCACTTAAATGAAAATGTATTATAGTTTAAATTTATATTTAATACATTAAGTTGAACTTTAGAGTTCTTTTTGACCCACTTTATGTAATTTCATAATTATGTTGTCTTGTTTACTGACGAATGTACTGACATGCATTTATGATAAAATAAAGTGTACTTTAATGTAATTTCTATTCAAACTAAATGTGTCGCTTAACAGACACTTCATGTGTAGATCACTCAGCAGTCATGTGATTGTTCAAGACGATTAAACTTATATTTCCCTCCCAGATGTAGAAGTGATTGATCAGTACGGGAATAAAACAGACTGTCTAAATGCTGAAAGTGTGAAGACTTTGAGTGTGTCTGCGGATAACTTGGATAAAGGAGCTCTGGTTGTAGAATGGCAGGTAAGCACAACCACAGGTGCAAACAAATGGACATTTTTACTACAAAAAAAAAATACATAAAAAAATAGTTCAGACTAGTTCAAATGTGAAATTATTGTTTGTATAAAATTAGCACCAACCAAATGCGGGTAAATTTTCTATTTGGCTAGTGAATTTCGCAGTGTCATAAGTCACTTTGCATGATGTTTGTTTTATTACATCTTGATTATTTTAATAATTATTATCTTTGAAATTGTAAAATTGTATTGATTATTTGTATTTGTATCCTGTGGCACAGAGCACCTCTGAGTTACGCCACGTACGGTAATGATACTGTAAACACTCTTTGGCAGAGGTCATCTATGCTTATAGTTTTAAAATTAATTATATATTTGACTTGTTGTTTAGTCATCGAAACTTCTATATGACATAAATTGTTATTGATTGCATTCTGCCAGCCAATCACTTTATGTACTACATGGCATGAGATTATATATTTTTTAATTTGTTTCATGCATTTATTTGATTGCCACCATTTGTGACAATAAATTTGAACTAGAAATGTAGAAAAAAAACAACAACAGAAGTTTTGGAAAAAAAAAAAAAGAAATCACATGCATTATTGTAAAAAAAATAAAAATTGTTAAAGGTGCTATATGTAGTTTTTAGTGGCCTCTAGCGGTGATGTTTCAGATTGCAACAAGAGCACTCTTGCTCGAACTCAAGAACGAGCACTCACTACCAGCCACACGGAAACTTTCAACACAATGGAGAAAGCATCACACCACATGCTGGAAACTCATGTAAACTCCCACTGCAACGTTACAATAATAGGCTACTTTTATCAGCTTGACGTTGAACTAATGATCCAAGCTCCATGAACTAATGCATTTAGCATTAGTATAGTAATAATGCATTCGGCATGTGGTGTTAGCTCTGTCCCAAATGGCACACTCCGAGTTCGGACTTGTGGACTTCCTCAGAGTCCACACTTCGGTGACGTCATGTAGTGCAGACCTAAAGGGCCCTTAGCGCGAGTCCGCGAGGGCGTATTGAAAGGTATTTTTGGGACAGACTCGATCGTCACGCCGGAAACAGAAAGAAGGTCTGGTTGTTGTTGTTTTTACTTTTGTTTTTGCAAGATGTCTTTTCATGCGGAGAAATCATATTTTTGCGCTCAGACGCATTCCTCATGCCTGTGAAAGCCTTATCCCTCTCCATACGGAGCTGAATATGTATATGTATGTATAAACTGTAAGTAACAACTGGTAAAATTTACGCCTATGTCATAAGAGTGGGCATGCACGCCACATCCGATGGATTTCGCAGAAAGTCCGACCTGAAGACTTAACGTAATAGGAATACTGGCCTTCAGAGATAATAGCAAAACCCTACAAGTGGATCATTGTAATGTGTGATTACAACCACTTCAAAAAAGGATTCGTTTTAGAAGAAAAGTTACATATAGCACCTTTAAAGTTTTATGAACTCAATTGATTATACATGCTTTTTGATGATTAAAATTGAGTTATATCATTAAAATGGAATGCATGGAAGTTCGGGGAAAAAATAAAACTCAATTTATGAAATGTAGTTTTTGTAACATTTTTAATACATTAATCCAGAATAAACAAAGTCTGGAGACCTTATTTGCAACTCTTCCAGGCAGCTGTTTCAGGCGTCCAAGAGCAAGTCCTCTGTTTAAATAGAGGAATCCTGAATTATATCCCTGAATTATATATTTTATAAATAAATGCCTTATTTAGGAGGCGAGATTTATTCCTCCATGTTGTCTGCTGGTCTTTTTCCTATTCATAAGTAATATGAGTGCACTTTTGAAGTCTTTAAAAATCAAAACAAACAGATTTTTCTTGCCAAAAAAATGTATGTCTTTATTTTTTTATTTATTTTAGCATTTAGTGTTTTCATCTTATTTATTTGTATGCCTTTTTTTCAGGCCAGTATTGGGAAATTATCGGTATGCGGTGTCCGGTTCATGACGGGATCTCTTGGCCCAAAAGAGTTGTGTTTTAAGTATATGGACATGATGGAATGTGCACGAATTGAAGTTACTGCGGGACATCCGGCTAAGATAATTCTACTGGAGAAGCCAGAGATTGTATGTCACACATTTGAAACGCAATAAAATAAATTCATGTATCATAATATTTATATAATATAAAACTTCTCTTTAGCCTTTCCAGGTCATGAATGGCCATGGCTTGGACACACCACTGGTCATGCAGCTGTGTGATAAATGGGGAAATCCTTCTCCAGATCAGCGGATTGAGGTTGAGATGAACACTCTGTACTCAGAGTTAAAGGTACAGTTGAGAGGAAGGGAGGCTGGTGGATTTGTATTGACAAACATTTTTTTTTAACTGTTCTTGGAAATGTAATAATACTAAAGCAATATTCCTAAAATGCCACAAGATACAAAATTGTATTACCTCTCTAGACATCTAAAGTTTTTTTTCTAATTAATAATAATAAAAAAACAAATGCTTTAGAAAGATTATGTTTATGTAGATTATGTAGGCCCACAAATCTGTGTGATCTGTGATCACTGACATAAAATTCATAATGTCTGATCATTGAAATATGTGATTTCTTAATTGCATGAATGTGAAACAATTTCATAGAAACTTTAAAACATGAATGTGAAAATTTCCATAACTTTATCATTTTTGGACCAATGGTCTGTCTATTTGCATTTGGAATCAAGCAAAAGTTCCTACAGAGTACAGGACCTAAAAAATATAAACTGTTAGTTTGTATCGTAACATAAGAGCTCATTTCCTACTGATCAACTTGGATGTAATCCAATTACTGTATCAAGGTGATACAATTTTTGAATCATTTTTCTTTTTCTATTTTAGATAAAGTCCTCAGTGACGTCTCAGCCTGTAGATTCCGAAGGAAAAGCTTGCTTCATATTAGAAAGTATAAGTGGTCCAAAGTAAGTACATATTTAGCTGTATGAATTCTACTTCACACATTTCTACAGCATCTAACTGATCAACATGATGATAACCTAAAAAGCCAGTTCAACACATTTACCGAACACAAGCAACTTTTACTTTATTATTTACTTTTTTTTTTTTTTTAAATCATGAGTATTAAATATACATCAGGCTTTTGAGGAACATTTGTTCATCTCTTAATCATTGTATTGCATTGGATTATACGTTTTAAATACAAAAGAGTTTTGATCATAAAAGTAAGCGTTTGAATGTATTACTAAGGCATTATTGGGAATTATAGAGTGGAAACTAATATGTATGTGCAATTTATGGAAGTAGTCTGCTATACTAATCTCATGGCTATACTGATCTCACTGATTTTCATTACAAACTACAAGAATTTGGTCTTACTTTTTGGCCATATAAAGATCAGTATCTGCACCAAATTACATCAATTTGTTAAATTTGGGCCTCAGAATGAAATTTAAGTTTTTTTCCTATGAGTATGAGCTCCCTATTCACCTAGGGGTGTGCGATATGACGATTTTTAATCGTGGACGATTAAAATGTCTCCACGATCTGCTTTTGAAGAAATATCGTAGTATCGTGTTACAGTGCATTCTATCAGTTCAGTTCTGGCACCTCCGTCTCTTAACTGTACAACGCGACGTAGCCTACACATGATCACACGTTAAGGAATAGGTACGGGACACTGCAATTCACAAAAGTTCATTATTTGCATAAGCCTTGCCGGTTAAACATTTAATTCACGCGCTGATGCGCTGTTCTAACGTGCGCTTTCCTGACCGCATAACCCCCGACGCTCGCATGCACTAGAAGTCTGTCAAACAGCGCCTGAATACTGGACTAAGTTATCTCTCGAGTCTTATTAAGCTAATACTGTTAAATACACACAATGTTTACATAAACAGGCTATGTCTAAAGTGAAAGCAAACATTTGAGAGAATATCTGGTGTAATATGCGTCTATATTAAACGCGTCGCATGCTGGTCTAAAAGCAACAGGAATAAATAGTAGCCTACTGCCGCTTGTCCTTAAAGGGATAGTTCACAAAAAAAAAAAAAAAAAAATCCGTCATTATTTACTCACTCTAATGTTGTTCCAAACCTGTATTAATTTCTTTCTTGTGCTGAACACAAAAGACAATTTTTTTTAATGTGGGTAACCAAACAGTTGCTGGTCCCCATTAACTTCCAGGAGAGAACCTATAATAAAAACTATAAGGAGACCAGCAACTGTTCGGTTACCCACATTATTCAAAATAACTTTTATTTTCAACAGAAGAAAAAAGAAACTTATTTGGGTTTAAAACATCTTGAGAGAGTAAATTAAGACAATTTTCATTTTTGAGGGAACTATCCCTTTAGTGTTAATAAAACAAAACAAAAAAAAAAACACAAGGAGAAAATCACTCACTGACTGAGAACTTTAATATATCTTTAATAAGAATCAATTTATTCAGTGAAGTCTATGTAGTGTTTTAATTTCATATTTGTTCATTTAATTACTTCAATGCTACTGCTAAATACACCTACTGCATCTGAAAAAAATAAAGCACTATTTATTTAATATGAATATTAATTTGTGTAATGTATATGTCTTATTTTTTTAATAACAAAGAAAATAATGACAAAGATTTTTATCTTCGCCACTGGCCTAAATGTGTGGCTTTCTTTTTTCTTTTGTTACCCAAGGCTTTGTTTTTAACATAGGGACATTAGTTTGGCTGTAATGAACAGCCACTTGCAAAATATTAAAACAAACTTGAAAAAGAATCGTGATAAAAAATCGTGATCGTGATTTTCCTAAAAAAATCGTGATATGATATTTTTTCCATATCGCCCACCCCTATATTCACCTATATTAATGGTTCGACTTTTGGGTTGCAACCCACCGATTGAGAAACATTACATTATCCTATATTGTATTCTATGAGCCATAAAAGCCTGATTTATCAAACTAAAAAAAAAATTTTTTTTTTTTTTTTTTTTTTTTTTGCAGTTTGTCTAAAGGCTATATATATTACATATTTTTTACATGCTATTTTAAATACTGCAAATTCTAAAAAACAAACAAACATTGTTGTCCTTCTCCCTTTCACTGTCTCTTTCTCACTCTTTCTTTTATAGAGGGGAGCATCATTTGGAATTCAAGGGATGTTTTGGCAAGAAAGCCATTCCAGGGCCGGTAATTAGATTAAATCTGATTCCTGATCCCAACAAGCCTGATAAACTCTGCATTGAGTATGACAGCACTGCCAAATTATGTGCTGGAGAGGTCTTTCCAGGTGTGTGTGGATGCACAGTAAAGCCTATATTGTAAAATTAGTAAAGAGCACTATGTGAATCACATTTTTCTACTGTCTACTAGAGTTTACAGTGTTTGTGATGGCTGAAGAGGGTGGGCCAGTAAAAAACATCAGCCCAGCAAGTCTTTCAATGCTGCTCTGGAAAGGCATAGCATCAGGGTCCAGACCACACCCTGCAGTGAGTCACTCTGTTTATCTTTATTTCGACACTTTACTAAACTACAACGGTGGATTTCAACAAAAAATATTATTCAATGACAATATATTTATTCATTAAAGGCACACTATGCAGGATTCCGTTTTCGTGAAACAGCGACCCCTAGAGTCGCTGCGGAGTACTTGTATTTAACATTAATGTCGTAAATGCCTCTCACGCAGAGCGTCTCTGCACTCACGGCCTGATACCCCTTCAAATCTGTTATATTAAGGTACAAATCTTGTATAGTGTGCTTGTATAGATTTCTTGTAAATAATAGATCTAGGGGGTGTTTAAGGGTGGGCCTACTAATGATATTAGACTGCATAGCCTATAATAAAAGTAGAGTTGTTTCGATCCGATACCAATAAAAATTCTGCCATCGGTATCGGCGAGTACTTCTACCCGCTCACCGATCCGATACCATTTTCTTAAACAATATTTAGTTATGCACACTTGCTTTGCTTAATGCTGCAAATTTTTGCACACCAAAAAATAATTCTATTAATTCATACAGTGCTAGTATGAATTGCAGCTGTATAGATACTGCACACACCCAGGTATCAGATCAGTACTCTGTATCGGCTGATACCCTGAGTCCAGGGTATTAATAGTTTTTATAAACCTGATATAATTAATAGTTTATATTAACCTGAACCTGTTCAATGAACGGAAAAAAAACCTGCAAACGAACGAAATTTTGACAGGAACGTAACCCGAAACGGAAACAAAATCAAATTTAATCATTCTGAACAGAAACGCTTATTTGAAATGGCCATCTTGATTTTAATCAATACTGATAAGGATTGTTAAATCTCAAGATCTATCTTTTAGTTAACGTTACTAAACATTGGTAGCCTGTCATCCAATAATCTCAATAAGCTTTGTTACTTTTAATCAACAAATTCAAACAGACTAAATTGTAATAGCATGCATGAGATAATAATAAATGTTTGAGTGTTTTATGTTTTAACTTAGGCCTCTGCTCTGAGGTGTAGTAAACGCAAGGACACCGAAAAGGATGAGTGTTTCTGCTTCAGGTAATTAAAAAAAGTATTGTATATAGAAAAGTATTGCATGTCTTTATTTCTTAAAAACATTGAAACAGGTTTGTTTTTTTTAATCATTAGTAATAATATTTGAAAAACCTTTAGATAGACAGATGTGATGGATGGATGGATGATTGGAGATAGATGATTGAAGATATATAGATGATTAAGTGATGGTGGAATAGATGGATGGATGGATGATTGGAGATATGAAGAGTTCAGATGCAAAAGCCTCTAAATGCCATTTGAAATTTTCTTCTAAAATGACCATTTTTATCAAGCTTGTATATTTAAGTTCAGTAATTTCACTTAAATGACAATTAATATGTAGTCTTCATTGCCATTTAAGTGAAATTACTGAACTTAAATATACAAGCTTGATAAAAATGATCATTTTAGAAGAAAGTTTCAAATGGCATTTAGAGGCTTTTGCATCTGAACTCTTCATATATAGATGATTGAATATATATATATATATATATATAGATGATTAAGTGATGGTGGAATACATGGATGGATGGATGGATGGATGATTAGAGATATATAGATGATTGAAGATATATAGATGATTAAGTGATGGATGGATGGATGATAATTGGAGATATATAGATGATTGAAGATATATAGATGATTAAGTGATGGATGGATGGATGATAATTGGAGATATATAGATGATTGAAGATATATAGATGATTAAGTGATGGTGGAATGGATGGATGGATGATTGGAGATATATAGATGATTAAGTGATGGTGGAATGGATGGATGATTGGAGATATATAGATGATTGAAGATATATAGATGAGTGATGGTGGAATGGATGGATGGATGGATGGATGATTGGAGAGATATAGATGATTAAGTGATGGTGGAATGGATGGATGATTGGAGATATATAGATGATTGAAGATATATAGATGATTAAGTGATGGTGGAATGGATGGATGGATGATTGGAGATATATAGATGATTGAAGATGTATATTTAGATGATTAAGTGATGGTTGAATAGATGGATGGATGGATAGATGATAGATAGATGATGGATAGATGGATGGATGGATGGATGGATAGACGAATAGACGGATGGATGGATAGATGGATAGATAGATAGAAATTTATGCACTTTTAATGTCCATCTTTTTCAGGGATAAGCAGATTCCAGAACTTGCAGGAAAGTACGTTGTCCAATTTGTTTTGGCTTTGGACAAAACCAAACATCTGTGGAGCAAACAGGTGGGAACATACAATTTATTTCATCCAATTTGTTGTAAACGCTACTTTACTGTTCATTGCTGTAGAATACTCATTTGTGTTTTTTGTCTTAGATTGAACTAAACGTTGTTCCCAATAAAGCAATGAAATTAGCCCCTGAGACTCCACCTTCAACTCCTGTTGTCTCTAATAGTAACATTCGGGCCAATCGCACACTGGTGGACAGCTTGAATCTAAAGATCATGGTGAGTTTCAGTCTTTTCTAGAGCTAGTGTTTGTATGTTAACAGACGATGTTGAACTTCATGTGATGCCTAACACCTTTTCACTCTTGTTCCTTATTGCTTTTAAATCAAATGCAAATCTGAAAATAGTGACCTCTTAATGTGTTATGTTTTTTGTTTTTGTCATGTTTACTTTATTACTCATTTATTCTGAGCATTCATGCAATGCATCTCTGCAATGCATTTTTTCTGTATTCTCAAATAATAAAACATTTAACCAAATTAATTAGGGATGTCCCGAGCTGATCTCAAGGATCAATGTTTTAAACTTGCCACCAAGGTGGTTCCTCGAGAACTCCGTGTTCATTACTTTACGATCTGTCTAAAATGTTATTAGATAAAACTGTTATACATAAAAAGTAGATAGTATATGGAAAGTTATTAGTGTATGCTGTGTGGTTGATGTCCAGCATTGCTATCTGAGCAGAAATACATAATCATGTTTAGCTTGGTCCCTTCAAAGTTGCGTTGGATTTTCTCGTCAGCATGAAGGCTAAAAGGCATTCCTAGAAATTCCTAGAGCTAAAATTGTTCCTAGTTCCTGCGGTGCGAACATGTCAAGTCGTGTGCGAAAGCCCCTATTTTCATATGACCACAATTTCATAAGATGATTTAAATAGCTCTGTTTGTAAAGAATTAATCATTTTGATGATTGGGGTAATTTTGAGTGCATCTGTAAAGAAAATAATAAACAAATTACAAGCATAGATAATAATAATAATACACTGAGCAATCATCGGTGCTTGGGCCCTAATTAATACAATAGAACAAAATATACAAATGAAATATGCAGTGCTTTATATTTTTCAGGTAAATCTAACACTATTCGGGTACATAATTTTAATAAGACATGTAAAATAACATACCGGTAACATAGTCTTCACTGTATACTGTATTAATTAATACAATTATCTTTGTTAACGCTACAAAAGTCATTTTCTCTTTTGTTTTGTGATTAACATTGGTGACTCAAACAGTTGCGGGTATATTAGGTTGCTGAATGCATGGATCCAATATAATCCGTCTTCTTTCTCATACTGTGTTTATGAGGACACAGACTGTGATTGAGGATTCTCGCCGAGATGGGACTTTTGATTTAATTTTGCATGCAAATGAAGAAAGTAATTCGGTGTTCATGTGCTGTGTGTGCGTACATAAAACATCTTGTGAGTTCTTGAGACTTAAAGCAGCACTATGCAGTTTTTTATTTTAACTGAATACTTTCGGAGTTATTGCAATGGTTATATGACTATTTTCGGGTTGAATGTTGGGCGTCTCGTTCTAGTACTCCACAGCGACTCTAGGGGTCACAGTTTGACAAAAACGGAAATCCTGCATAGTGTGGTTTTAAAAACGCATGCAAATGATAAACTGTAGTGCTACGTTCACACCGGACGCGAATCGCGCGTCAAATTCGCGCCTGACGCGTCTAGTTTGACGCTTGACCACTAGTGTTAATTCGCGTGTCAAGAGCGAAACTGGCGCGCGTAAAGTTTGAAGCGAAATTTACGCGCGTGACGCGCGCCAGAATCAAAATCCGTTGGCGGTCATTGTTTTTATGTCGACCGAGCATTCATCAAGAGAGTTACCGCTCTGTATTTACTCTGGATAGCAGAACAGCGGCGTGGGGATCATCGTCGCCGTATATTTGTGTCCACCGGACCCTTCGGAGCCGAACCGTTTGGCGAGTTTCACCATTCGCTCGCTCCAGGAGCTGCGCTGGATGACGGCCGCTGTCAGCGGTACTTCCGCCTGTCACGCGCCCAGTTTGATGACCTGTTGTCCCGCATCGGAGCGAGGATCACCCTCGCCCGGCCCCTCATCCATCTAATCTAGCTGTCATTTATTTTTGTTTTGATAACAAATAGAGCCAGCCTTCAAAAGTTATTAACCTGTCCTGTGATTTTTTTTTTTTTCTCTCTCTCACGTCCAGACACGAATTTATGCACATATGTTGATTGTCTTTACAACATAATACTATTTCTAGATATGGAATGAATAACATTCAATACAAAATGAACATGTCTCCATATAGAAATAATGTTTTAAGTGATGAAACATTTGCTTTGTTGTGCATAATCCCACCATGCATTTAGTCATATTAACAAAATAATTTATTGAAGCATCCAGACACTTCACCACGTGAGCAAGCAGCTAGGCTCCTGATTGGTTAACGCGGCGCGAATTCACGCCAAAGTTCAGATTTTTCAACTCGGGCGGCAGACGCGAATTCGCGTCAAACGCGTGAATGCACAACGCTCAATTCGCGCCATTCGCGCCAACTTGACGCGCGAATGAGGCGTATTCGCGTCTTCCGCGCCGCGCTCCACGCCTCATTCGCGCCGCAGGAATTTTTCACGCGCGTAAAGCGTCTTTGCATTGACTTAACATTGAAATCATTCGCGCCTGACGCCCTATTCGCGTCCGGTGTGAACGTAGCATTACTCTATGATGATTACACTTTGCAATTAATCTGCAAATCACATGCCTTCTGGGGGGCTGCTGGCCCGTATGGATCAACTACGATCCCTATACTTGACATCTCACATCCTGCAATGTGATTATCGCGTACATCGCAATATTGATGCTAAAACTATATATCGTGCAGCCCTAATTTTATTTTCGCTTTACTTTTATACTCGACTAACTGGGAATTTTGACATCATTTTGTATGTTTTTGTTTTTGAAAACTCAATGTGGCGCTGCCGTGTTATCTGATGCCTGTGCTTACTTTTCGGGTGTTTGTTCACAGAGAGACAGACAGTTTGTTTCACAGAGAGACAAGGGCACAAAAACCTTGATCGGGACATTCCTAAAATGTGCAACAGGCCTACAATTGTGTGTTTTCTTCTTACTTTGCAGGACCAATATGATAATGCTGCTGGTGAAGGTATAGATGGAAAAGTGGTGGTTACAGTTAAAGGCACTGGAGACATGGTGGTTCCTTTGTTTGAGAATGGAGAAAATAGTTTGTCATACAGCCTTACTAACGGGGAGGCTCTCATTACTGTGAGTGTTTAATTTATATACTGTATTGAATTAGCTTTTTTATTTTATTTTTTACAGTTTTTGTTTTTTAGTTAATTTCCAGGGCAGGATTTCAAATCTTTGTTTCAATTTTTTTTATCCAAAATATATTATTTTTCATTTTATTTCAGCTTTATTTTAATTAACTAAAACATTTGAAGGTGCATATATATATATATATATATATATATATATATATATATATATATATATATATATATATATATGCTACTGTATATATATATATATATACTAAAACACTTTCAAATGTTTTAGTTAATTAAAAAAAAGTGTTTAATTAACTTAACTTAGTTAATTAGTGTTATATATATGGTTAAGTTTGGTTCAAAACATTTCTAAATACCGAATTTATTTTTGTGATTCTATTGTAACGTTTAATTTTGAAGTCCAGCAGGACAAATAAAGTCTTTTAATTTTATTTTGCATGTTATAGCTCACATCCTGTTCACTGGTCATTGTTGTTAAATGGGTGCTATTGTTTGTGTCCTGTAGGATTTGGTTCTTTTGGAGAACAGTCCTGGTAGTGATGGAGCTGAGTATATTCTCCAGTTCCATCCTGAGTTTCAGCTGACTAGTGTTACGATCACTCCATACAGCCTGCCTTTCAGATTCTGCAATGGTTAGTTAGCAGACAGAGAGCCCATTATTCGTACATCACTAATGAGTGTGACAGTTAATATAATTGTAATATTCCTGTGTATTATGAAAAGAGGTGTACAAATAAATTGGACTTGACTTGAATTTCATACCAATGAGATTTTCCTGTGTGTGGTGCTACCTATTATGATGTGAAGTCTTGTTGGAATTAGGAGTGATTGGATTTACGATTTGAACACCTATTAATGACACTTTAAAGTTATAATTTTGGGAAACTACAACTGTTAAATTCTTACTACAAAATATATTTTGATCTATTCCAGATTCAGAACATCAGGAAGTCATTTCAAATCTCAGTAAGAAGAAAGATCGTCTTTCCAAGACTGTTTTGATGTACCGGGAAATCTTTGAGACCAATGAACAACTGAAATCTGAACTTGAGTGTAGGCACTTCGTTCATTCATTTATGCTTTTATTTGATTCATTTATTCATTTATGTTTATTAGGGGTGTAACGGTACACAAAAATCACGGTTCGGTACGTACCTCGGTTTTAACGTCACGGTTCGGTACGTTTTCGATACAGCAAAAAGAAAGAAATGCCACAGAAATGTCCTATTTGTTTAAAGAAAAATATTTTTAAATAAGTGTGAGTTTCCTAGATCTTGAAACTTTCAGGTTTATAAATGGGAGTCATCTTTGAAGGATGAACAAATAATGTTTTGGTGTTCACATTAAAAATAACATTTAAAATATATATTCATTTATATAATACAGTATTTGAATTTTGAAGTGCTGGAAAAAGATGTGTGATGTACTTGAAAGCATTTCTCCATTCCAGCCAAACTGGTTCCAGTTAGTGTTACTATATTAAATCCATGGTGAATGTTGCAGGTCTGTGGACCAGAACTAGTATTACTAGTTCATTCACGGCACAATGTTTCTCCTGGTTTCCACGTCAGCGCTGTTTGATCTAATAGAGATCTACGGTAATTAACAGAGAAATGTGAATGCATCTCACTAGATCTCGCAGCGATGTTATTACCTCAGTGGCGAATTCAAATGTTTTCTTTACCGGATCTCTTAGCGCGGTGTGGTAACAGTGTTGCTTGATCGAGATCGGCTCGCGCTGCACAGATGTTGCTGGTCCAAACTGATAAACGATCCGTGAAGCACATAACAAGTAGCACAGTTTCGTTCTGCTTTCATTACGCTTGCCATTTGATGTTGCGCAACGTTGTGTTGGCCGCGCCAGCACGAATTTTGCCGGCAGGAAAAATGGTCCAAGCAATCGTTCGGTTTGTATGCGTACCGAACCGGAAGCCTCGAACCGAAACGGTTCAATACGAATACATGTACCGTTACACCCCTAATGTTTATATGTTTTTATGTATTAATGCATTTGTTTATTCATTTATGCATTACTTAATTTTATTCATCAAGATCATGTATGTATGACTATTATATATATATTGACTATATATATATATTTACAGGTCTGGTGCGAGATGCATCCCACAAAATAAATGAGCTTAAACCAGAGCTCATGAACAGTGGCTTAGACATATCAAAACTAACCTCGGTGAGTCTGAACATGCACACACATGAACACTAACATAAACACTGTTTCATTGTTGTTTGGTCTGAGAAGCTTGCAATTTGTTCCAATCATCATAGATGCGTGTTTGTCTTTTTGTTTACGTATCTGTCTAGGTATCAGAAATAAAGGATTTAATAAATGCCAACAAAGCAATTTTGGTCAAGATGGAGAATCAACCTAGACGGAAATGTAGCATTCTTGACCCTTTCAAAGGCAGTCCGCACGTTCTGGGAAAGGTGTGTGTTTGATTATTGTATCATGTGATCACATCACAAGTGCAGATCTAGGAGTCAGCAGGGTGAAATGAGTATTGGAAAAGTTTCATGCTTATTGAAACAGCAACACTGGCCTGTTAAAATATCTCATGCATAATTATAACAAAAAAAAATTAAATTACGACATACTAAATCGTCACTACATCACTGACATAAAAAGTTGAAATAAGATCTATTAAGTCATAATTATGAAAAAAACGTCAAACTATATGTGGTGGAGCTTCCAAACTTGTGTGTAGCAATGACATATTTTTCTCAAGCACTTTATTCCGTTGTCCGTTCTCTTAGTTACTGGCAATTTTCATACAATTTATTTATGCAGTTCTCCCTGAAAGGAGGGTTTTTATCTTATTTTCACTTTAAATAAAATGCTACCATTTATTTTATTAATTTTATTTTTATTATAGTTTTACAGTATTAAAAGCGTGGTACAGGTGTCTCATAGCGGCAAATACAAACATCCGTCAACTGGTTGTTCAAGGATCGAGTGAAGGGTAATAGCACAAAAAAAGAGTCTAGAAATAAGACATTTAACATACATTTTCAAGAAAATACGCTAGAAATCATTAGACCTCCTGCATAAGTTTGATTCAACCACATATTAACAGAAGGGACATGGGTCGTGGAACACAACAGAAGTATACATTTTTCTCGCTAAGTAGGTCCTCTGAACGATCTTATGTATTTCTTTCCTGTACACCTTGATCATGTCACAGCTCCAGAATATTTGCATCACAGTACCAATATTAGATTTACATTTATTAGAGAAACGTAGGTGGGAAAAAATATTACGGAGATGAACCAGTGTTAAAGTCCTGTAAATTAACTCCTGTAACTCGACTTTGAAATTGCTACCATATCTAAGTATATATGAAGATACATATTCATAAAGATACATTAAACCCCTTAATTTATACCTTGATAGCACGCAAATATTTCTGGCCATTTTTTTTTTCTCTTATGATTGTCAGCCTCTGCTTTTCCGCTGCAAAATGAAGCCGTTGTGAGTGTAAAACACGTTGAGACGTTAATTTTATCTAATGAAAGAAAAATACTTCAATTTTCTTATGTTAGTTTTTAGTGATGTTTTGACTCGTTGGTGCATTTTACCGCCCTTCATCAACACACAGCCCACCCCAGATTTTAAAAAATCACAAAATCACATGTGATGATGTCCATGTAATGGTTTGTAGGTAGGTCATCTGGCACAGGTTGAGGATGATGATGCAGCGAAGGTGATCTCTTGGCATATCCTTGGCGACATGGACTGTGTGGTTACTGAAACAACATCAGCTGCCAAGAAAATCTATGATGATACACAAGGACGACAACAAGTCTTACCCCTCGAGACCGTCTTCTGGAGACCAAATGACAGGTACACATGCATATTGCATGCATTCTCAAAAATCCAAATATTTCTAGGTACTTAGTGTTTTTTTATTAGGGTTGAGAAGGAGTTTTAGTGCACCAACAAAAGTAATGATTATGAATGTGTTGGAAAGCGCTATGGAGCTGAAAAGAGTAGACTCCGCAAAATAACCAATTTTTTTTTTTTTTTTCAGTTAATACTAGCTAATTTTTTTAGATAAAAATGAATGTGTTTTTCCAGGAGACTGAATGAATATCTTAACAATTTATTAATAAACTTGTGTTTTCTGAGTAAATGTCGACTGCAAAGATCGTTCGTCTCCACAGTATAGTGGAAGTGGCTTTACAAAGGAAGGCTCATTAAATTAGGAATTCAGTAAGAGCGTCTAGCTTCCACACTCCACTTGAACACTCGGATATGCCCCTAATAATAGCACACATTTATCTAGGTTAAAGTTAACGTTTAAGCGAACGGCCAAGTAGAGTGGATAATGTTAGGCTACTACTTGCATGCTTCAAATGATATGCCATATTTGAGGTTGACGAATAATAGGTGAACAGTTGGATTTCTGCCCGAGATAATTACCAAATGCTGATCTGAAATTTAAGCAACCAATGCTAGGTCTGGATTAACAATATCAATTTGCTTTGTTTATGCTTTTTTTTTTTTTCCATGTGTCTTAGGCCATTGCCTCACATCAGGAATGGCTCGTCTCTCTTCCGTCCACTTGGAAATCCTGTGTTTGTCAAAGATTTGCTCATTTATCCTGAGCATGTAGAAGGCTGCAATAAAGGCAAGTCATTCACACTCACTGACAGCATACAACACAATGGTAGATTTAGAGTCAAAAATGAACTTTCCGTTCCTGCCAGATTCAGACATAAAATGGCAGATTATATGCGGCTGTTGATATATGAATGAATAAAAAATAGTCAAGTACCTTGTGATCTTACAATGTAAAAAAAAAAAAACGAAAATTAATAAATACGCCAATAAAAACTGCAAAATGGCTATTTTTCACACTGAAAGCACTGAAAATCAACTGATTTTCTCAATCTCATGTTCTTCTTGTACAAAAATGCGCTGCTCATCCATTTAATGGCAGTGAATGGTGAAAAATAGAATGCCATAAAATAATGCCATGCAACTTATGCTGTATATAGCAGATGTTTTGAATGCACACTATAGGGTTTGTTCAGAAACACACCGTAAAGGGTTATTTAATAACTTTGGGGGAAAATTGGGGATAATGGGGATAATTTACTCACCCCCATGTCATCCAAGATGTCCACGTCTTTCTTTCTTCAGTCGGAAAAAAATTAAGGTTTTTGATGAGATTTTCTCCGTATAATGGACTTCATTGGGAACCAAACGGTTCAAGGTCCAAATGAGAGTTTCAGTGCAGCCTCAAAGGGCTTTAAACGACACCAGACGATGAATAAAGGTCTTATCTAGGACCCTTCGAGTCATGACTCTTAAAAAGATCTGTTCATTTTGATGAACAAGTTCGAACAGGTGAGTCACGAACGCTCATCACAGAACAGAGCAAGGTGAGCATTTGTGTTTATAAAACTTAATCTTTATTTTATTTTTGAAATGAACATTCGTTTCGCTAGATAAGACCCGTTTTCATCGTCTGGTGTCGTTTAAAGCCCTTTGAAGCTGCACTGACACTCTCATTTGGACCTTGAACCGTTTGGTTCCCATTGAAGTCTATTATATGGAGAAAATCCTGGAATGTTTTCTAGTTTCTTTTCGACTGGAGAAAGAAAGACATGGACATCTTGGATGACATGGGGGTGAGTAATTATCAACAAAAGTTTTTTTTTTAAAGTGAACTACTCCTTTAATAGTTGTTATAGGCTTTTGAACTCAATATATTGTTCTTGATTTACTTCAGTTAATAAGTAAAATGATTTAATTCACAACTAATGTAACCATTTAAAGTATGGCAACTGTCATACCCTGACACCCCTGCTGCACTTCCAAAACAAGTCTGTTTCATTTACTAACCAAAGCCAATTTTCACAGTCATTTAGTTCTCACTGGGTATTAATCATGGATCCTGATGAAAAATAGCATGATGAATTCTCACTACAGGGATGGAAAACAGATTTTCCAGCAAATAACCCATGATTAACAAATTAATAGATTAATTCACATTTGTGGGAAAATAATCGGAGCATGAATGACCTGTTTGAATGGGTATTTGGAGTTTGAGAGCATGAATGGGTTTGAGTGTAAACATACTCAAAAACCTCCCTCTCTCCCAGCATGCATTCTATTTTGTGTCTTAACTTAGTTTGCATAGTTTTGTAAGCATGAACATTGCACTTTCAATTTTAAATCTTTCCAGAATACTGCCATATTAATGTGTCATGGAATGATGTAATGGAATTTTCTTATTTGCGATCTTTCTTCACTGCTAAGTGTCTTGGCATAGAGGCTATATTGGCAGTATCAAATGATCTAATGGTGTGTGCATGTGTGTATTATGGATTGAACAATCATATTTGCCTAAAATATTTGGCAGCCTGTAGATGTTGGCATGTATTGTAAGCATGATCAGGGTAAACATAATCAAATAGTGAAGCTATTGATGTCTTCTGACTCTTTTCAGTTTTTGCAACCCTTCTTGGAGAAACCATATTAATTGATGATTTGGATTCTGCTAATCACTATCGTCGGGGGGTAAGACACTGAGTGAATGTGTTGGTGTTGAAGAATCTTCAAATATTTACCTCAGCGTGTATAAACGTGAATATTTGGTAGGTGGTTCAAAATAAGATGCAGTGCCCCACACTCCTAACGCGCCAAGGGGAGCGGATACGCAGCAACGGGAAGTTTGGTGGTTTGCAGAACAAGGCTCCACCCATCGAGAAACTTCGAGGGCAAGTCTTTGGGGCACCATTACCCAAAGAGTACAAACATACATGCCTTCAGATAGGTAACTAACATACTTTTTCTCTTGGTGCAGTGGAAGAAATTAGACAATTTTTTTACTGTACTTAGTGTTTCTCTCCCATATTAAACGCAACAGTTCACCGAAATAAAAGTTTTTTTATATAGCTTCAGTATAATTTTTGGAATGCATTTATGGTACTTAAGGCAAGACAAAACTGTTTTTTCATTAACTGGTCAGTATAGAGATGTGGGGCTATTTTGCTTTCATAATGCACCTTATTTCAGACTAGTGAAAAGAAACACTTCCAAAATGCCTATTTAAAGGAATAGTTCACTTAAAAGTTAAAATTCTGTCATCATTTACTCACCCTCAAGTTGTTTCAAACCTGTATTAGTTTCTTTCTTCTGCTGAACACAAAGGAAGATATTGTACACATCGTGATTTACATCATTGACTCCCTTAGTAGTGTTTCCTACTATGGAAGTCAATGGGGTACATCAACTTTCTGGTTACTGACGTTCTTCAAAATATCTTCCTTTGTGTTCAGCAGAAGAAAGAAATTCATACAGGTTTGAAACAACTTAAGGTTGAGTAAATTATGACATAATTTTAATTTATAAGTAAACTCTTCCTTTGTGTTTAATTTCTTACATTTTATTCTACAGTATTTCTGACTGATTTCAATTACAATACATATCTTTAAAGGCTTTTTTCCTCAATATTAGATTTTTTTTTCTGCACTGAACCAGAAATATCCACTTCAGTAGCACTTACATGCGCTAAAATTTCCATAATTGATAAAGTAAGAACATTTATCTCTGAAATATCAAGAAAATGAAAATAATAATTCAATGATCAGATTTCAGTTCTGATTATTTATATATATATATATATATATATATATAATTGGTGCATATTTAATTAGATAATGCATACTTTGCACATTTAATAACATTACATAACATTTCATAAAATCATAATACCCTATTCACCTGTATTGTCTTTGAAAAATGCTTATGTGATGAGTCAACTCATATAAATGGATGAAAACTGTATTTAATCTCTCTATTATATTTGAATGTTCACTTACAGAATTATTACAGCAGTACAGTGGTGCAATGCAGAAGGCCTCTGATGTCGAATTTGAATATAAAAATCATTTCCAGTACCTGCAGAGTCCTCAGATGAAACAGAAGCGACAAGAGCTCAAGCAGCAAGAGGAAGAGTTAAAAGAACTTGAGCAAACCCTTGGTATGTGTTTTTACCATTGTAGATTTGTATTTCATGCAATACTGTATAATTTCACCATTGACAGTTTACATGAAGAAACCACAGCCTTAGTATTACAGTCTATTATTATATGATATCATGTAATTCAGGTTTAAGTAGAAGTTTGACTCTGCTAACCTGGGGTTAAGTTCATCTTTAAAAAGACGTTGTTCACGTGTATTTTAGCATAAGGCTGCAACATATCAAAATGTGGACAAAATGGAGGGGTCTGAATACTTTCTGAAAGCAATGTATTTGCAAGTGTGTGAACTTTCAGCTTATTTTAATGCTTTTTGTGCCTTAGGAATGGCAATAGAAATTCTTTCAAATGGGATTGGAATGATTCCTTAACCCTTTATGTACTCTATAATTTCTATAATTGGTGAATTCTGACAAACGTTGACTGAAATGTGTGTTTGCAGCCAGAACTCCTGAAAAAAGAATGAAACGAAGCCTCGAGCCTGAAACTTCTGAGCCCTCAGTCCCTCCTAAACGGATCCGTCGCAAACCTTGCAAGCTGGGTAAATTAGTGGTCATCTGAAGTGTTTGCTCTATAACTCCTGTTTCACACATGATGTGTTTGCAGTACTATGTGGTGCAGAAGCTGCATGCTCATTGTGCTTTTACATAAGATGCGTTTGCAGTGTGCAGTTGATCCACGGCTTCTGTATGCTTTTTTCCTTGTGAAATACAATACACTATTTATTACCTAAGAAACAAGGCGACATGAATGACACTTAAGTCTGAATGTGGAAGTGAGGGGAAAAAAATCTTTATGACCTGCTGTATTTCTTTTACAAAATTTCCCAAGAAAAAAAGCATGGGAGGCAGTTTGCCTGGTTGGTAAGTTTTTAATTAAAAAAGTTTGTGATACTGCATTTTTACGTAAGAGAAGTACCATGTTTGAATGTTTTGCCACTTGCCACTTATAGGATTAGTTCACTTTTGAAAAAACTTTTGCTGATAATTTACTCACCCCCATGTCATCCAAGATGTCCATGTCTTTCTTTCCTCAGTCGAAAAGAAATTAAGGTTTTTGATGAAAACATTCCAGGATTTTTCTCCGTATAATGGACTTACATGGGAACGAGATGGTCCAAGGTCCAAAAGACAGTTGATAACAGTTTCAGATGCAGCTTCAAATGTCTTTAAACAACACCAGACGATGAATAAGGGTCTTATCATGCGAAACTATCGGTTATTTCAAAACTTATTCCAAAAATGTAACTTTTCTAAGGACAAATGCTAGCCTTTCTCCATTCTGTGAGGCGCGTTTGCAACGTCACGTAATACGTAATTACGTTCAAAAGGTCACGGGCGACGTAGCCGGAAGTACCAAATGCCAAATATCTAAAAATCCTTCAAAGTCCTGATGTGAGAAAGCACGGATGGCAGGTTAACAGGCTAGCAAGATATCAGCGTGTGTTGTGTTAGCGATAATGATTTAATTAAAAGCTATGTCAGATTAATGTGATGGGCAATAATAGACACTATTTAATAGATGTTGATGAGTAAGTTAAATTTAGCAAATAAAAACAACAAGGAATTATAGTGAATAGAGATTACAGACATAAAACAGCAGCAAAGCAGACAAGAGCAATTAATCAAGGCAGACAGCAATAGGGGTAACGCTTCCTTTTACAGTACAGTACTTACAGTGTACTTACCTAGAAAGTACTGGCTAATATAAGGTAAGTATATGGAACAGGGGTAGGTTCAGGGTTAGAACTAGTTATTACCCAGTAATTGTAGTTACTAAAATAAGTACATACTGTAGTATTTACATGGTTAACTGGACCGTAAAAGAAAGCGTTACCGCAATAGGGACAGGTTTATGGGGTACCAATGGCGCTTATGCATGTCATTCCAGTCTCTATACAACCAGTGCAAGAGCTGTATCAGCATTCTTGGTAGAAAGTCTCAAAGAAGCTGAATGTAGGCTATACTGCAGTTGCATGACTTCACCACCATCACCACCACCATTAAAGTCCCTGTAAAGGCAATTCTACAAAAAAGTTCTAAACACATTATAAATGTTACATATGTATTGCTAAAACATATTACAAAGACTGTGAACTGTGAAGTACTGAAATGTGGAGTTAGACCGTTCAACAGTTTTTCACCATTGCAATTTTACGGATTGTTTGGGCGGGGCTAAAACAGGGCTCAATGACGCACTGGAGCCCATGAGCTCCTGGACACACCCCTATTTGATGACGCATAGAGTCTGATTTCTCCCCTAACACACAATAACACTCCCCGAGCACATTCGCATTCACCGCTCAATCGCGAGTGACTGTCAGTACTATTAGTTACTACAGCTGAGCCTACAGTTTTCTAGCTAGCTATGCCTTCGACACGGACATGCATAGGCTACCTGGATGCGATCATGTACAAAACAGATCGGTATCTTCATTTAAATTCCCTAAAAACGATCACATCAAGAAGAGGTTTTTAGAGAGCAAACCTTGATGAAGAGCTGAGGATCACCGACAGCAACACCCGCCTCTGTAGTGATCGTTTTACACTGGATAGTTTTATAAACTTTCCTCAGAGACAACTGGGATTCACTGATAATCCACTGTTACTGGTGAACGGGGCCGAAACAACTATCTCCCGCCTCGGCGTTCATCCTCCTGTCGCGAAAGCAGCGACAGCTTTCCCGCTAGTGGGCGTGGTTTCAGCACAGCCAGCGGACACGCCCCCAGCGTTTGAGAACAGAGATAACTGCTCATTTTTTCAAGATTTTGATGGCTTATTTTATGTACTTGCTGGCATTTTTTTATCATTCAAATTTGGCTGGGTGGCTAATAACAAATTTTTCTGTGGTGTGACACTCACATACTTAATTTTGACTTTACAGGGACTTTAAACTTCCGACAACTCTCAGTATTTAAAAAAAAAGTTAGAATTATATAAAGAGCTCCGCAATTTTCTCAAAAAAGCTAAGCTATTTACAATTTCCAAAAAGTCCTGTAGATTAAAGATTGTTTTATGGTAGTTGGTAGTAAGTAGTATAGTAGTTTGGTAGTTAGTCTTAGACCATGTGGTCTTGCCTGGACACAGGGGAGCTGAAAATGTGCAAAGTATCTTTCGCACATCATACAGTAGGCTTCTTTGCATCCCCTAAACTGAAATTTCTCACATGTGGTAGGACTCTTCCTCTTTCTTTCTTCCATCTCATCCAGCCACTTTTGGTTCTCATAAGGATTGAGGATGTAGTTGTGATTATAGGATACAGTGACCACAGAGACAGCTTTCAGTGCTCAACAGCACTCTCAATCTGGATGGTTGAATACCAAAGGTCCACCAGATAACCAATCTTTGCCCAAGACGGTCTATGATCAAAAATGTAATAAACCAGTGGATATGAGAATGACTCAGGAGGATGTGGAACCAGAATTTTGCCATTTACGTTGACCATACAGTCCCCTTACTGTTGTACAGAAGCATGCAACACTAACACCAGAAGGTCAAATATTTTCTATGACCCACACCACCTCTGAGCACCTCCTTTCTTCCATTATCTGCTCGAATAGCAGATACCCCCATCAAACATCCCAGAGCACCAGCACTAATGTCTAAAGGTTGACAGAGACCGAAAAGGAGAAGAGTTATATCACCAAGTGCAGCAGACAAACCGCTATAACCCACGCCACAACCGCAGCTCAACCACATGTACCGTGACAGGACGATGGGATTTACTATTTTGCCCTCAGTTTAGTGCCTAAAGTTAACAGGCTTAGGAACCAGAACCGAGCACACATTTATATCCTCAGCTACCTTTCAGATCCGGAGGTAGCGGATGCAAATCAGCGACATCAAGACACACGTTTACAGCCCCCATAAACAGCAGGATTTCTGGCATTCCACCCCATCTCCTCCTCCCATGTAGTCAAGAGCCATCATCCTCCCCATCTAACACCTCTAACTACATCTTACCATCAGCATGGATCAGAACAGGATTCCTCTCCTGTGCACTGCTAATTACTATTGTTTTAACACTAAATTCTAATTATTTATTGTTAATTAATTTGATTTTTTTTTACTTTTGTTGAAAATAGGTTAGTAGTTTTATTATTTGGCTCTAAAGTTTTTCTTTTATCTTAATGTCACCTACATCTTTTATTTAGTTGCACTTTCTTTTTGTCTTTTAGGTATTTTTAAGTACTTTTATGTCACTAAAAATGGGTTAAAAAACATTCACACTGCTGTATTGCTGCATGCTTTCCTCTCAAAAAAAAAAAAATAATAATAAAACGCCACAAAAATGTCAACGGTGAGAAAATGGCTGTTAAGAAAGCATCTGATCATAGTGATGTGGATAACAAGTCTTGTCACATTTATTTATATAGCACTTTAGACAGTGGATTGTTTAAAGCAAGCAGCTTTACAGTGTTAAACAGGAACATTATCACTTTCAATAAGAACTTCATTTTCTACAACGATCCAGCTCTCCAGTGTGTTCATGTTTTTACTTGTCCAAACTTGACCTTGACTGAACAGAAGATATAAACCAGAGATTTCCAAGTCAAAGAAGGCGGAGCTTCAGAGCCACACCTACCTATACGTTATTACCATGGACAAATTGTAGTTTGAAGGTGTTTGCCAGCCAAACCTTTCTGCAAAGTTTGCTTTGTCAAGCTGTTTCTCACTCTATCCAAATTTAATTTTGTCCCAATAGAAATCGTCACAACAGTTCTTCGATTGTACTTGTAATTACGTTGGCATGTATTTGATTATGATTTACTTTTTTTGTGGCATAAAGCAATTTTTTTGTTGCAGTTCTTTTTATTGATTCAGAAGCCGCAGATTAGTGACCCACTGTAAACGCATCTTGTGTGAAAGCACAATGGCTGTTTCCGTAGGCATATGTACTGCAAACGAATTATGTGAAATGGCCGTAATAGTTGTTTCTGTCTTGTCTGTTGCTTTTTTACCGAAGTTAATCGCTTGTTGTTTTCGCCCCCAGCAGATTCATGATGCACCGAGCTGACAGTTGAAGCAATGCTGTAGTTTATTCAGAGTATCAAAGATTGTTTTGTCTTTGTAAATCCTGCTCTTTTTTTTTACTTTAAACTCTTTACACGTTGTTTTAAATTCCAGGATTTAAGAAGAAAGCAAAAAAAGAAAAGTTAATATATTTTGTATCGTTCTTTGAGGGGAAAAAAAAACAAGTTTTTTCAGTAACATCGGGTCCTGTCATCCTTTTTTTATTCAACAAACCTTCCAGCAATCACACTTTTACTAATGCCATCTTTTTCCTTTGACTTTAAAGCCCAATGTATAATTTGGTTTTTACACACACATGCATGAATACAGTGTACACTAGCATTTCAATGCATGTTCTGTTTAATGTCTACAGAGTGTTGCAGTGATGATAGGTTCTTATTGGCCAACCCGGAAGTTAGCATTACGGTGGTTCCCTTGAAAAAAAAAAAAAAACACAATAGAATTTTTTATTGACTCATGTAGCTTTTTCTATTGGCTCTAATCAACAAAAGTTTGATTCTCAAAAAAGCTAAATGTAGCCTAAACCGTTAAAGAACCAGATATGATGAATGAAGAGAAGATAAAAAGATTTACTTAAGATAGTTTCTACTTTCATCAGCAGAATTCAGGAATTTGTAGGCCACCCTGCTTACAGTTAAAAGATCACAGCAATTATACCCTTCACCCAGGTCTAAGCTACGTCATTGCTTTAGGTTGCAGTCTCTGATTGGCTCAGGACACATAAAGTCTAAGCAAATTACCACACATATTAGGCTTAAGCATATCTCCATGGATTATGCAGCGGACACTCAGACCCTAAAGTTAGGTTTAGTGAGTGGCTGAGAGGAGTTTCATGGACTTATCACTTATCTGCTTCTTTTTTGTTTTATATTTAAAGTTTGACTAATTTAGTTTGACCATTTCTTTTTTTTCTTGTGCTTATTACTTAGTTTTCATCCTGTTCCCGAACTCTCTCAGTCAATTCATATTTTTTTAACGTACAAAATTGTGTCATTCACTATAGCCACTTGTTCTATTGTCTGAAAAAAATAATATATGACATGAAAACAGCTTTATTGGACATATATATTATTAGGCTATAATACATTATATTAAAAATACACTACGTGAGCATGAATTTAGAGAGAAAACACATTTTGTTAAAAACAAAAATTCCACTACATTCCACATCTGAACACCACCAAAGTCTTCAACCAGCAGAAATTTGGCAGACTTGGTAGAAAACTGTTGTTTTATGGAAGACTGGTATTTCATATGTATCAGTGCCATGACCAAACTTGCAAAAATCATGATCAACTAGAGCAGGGGTGTCCAAACTCGGTCATAGAGGGCCACTGTCCTGCAGAGTTTAGCTCCACCCAAATTAAACACACATCAAGGTCTTGATTAACTGAAGGTCATTAGACATGCTAAAAACTTAGAAGCAGGTTTGATGAGGCAGGTTGGAACTAAACTCTGCCGGACAGTGGCTCTTCAGGACCGAGTTTGGACAACCCTGAACTAGAGGGAACATAAACGGACATTGTTAACAGCACTATAACAGCTGTATCAGCAGCATTTTTAGTAAAAAAAAAAAAACCAAAACAATAGAATGCATCTAGTGAAAGTATTTACATTTTTACTAAGGATAGATTGTACGACATGGTTTCAACCAACATGCTATTTTTTTTTTTACGTTTGACAACTGCATTTAAAAAAAAAAAAAAAAATCACCTGGAGAGCATGTAAGTATATACTACACAGAGTGTTAGTGATTACACAGAGAAACCACCTCCCTCAGGTGCTCTTCGTTTCGGAGTCACACTTGTTATCTTCCTGGTCAAAAGTGACCGGACACCTAAAAATTCAATTTACTCCATCCCAGTAAAACCGATGCAATTTAGTTTTGTTCTATAATATTTATTATTTGTAATTTAGTATTTTGAGACGATTTGATTGAATTTATTCATATTTATGCAATATTTATGGTCTATTTTTGCCATGGAAAATATATATATATTTCTATACAGTATATATTACTTTTTTCAAAAAATTATTAATGCAGTATTTAAGTTTAATATAGAGTCTAGGCCTTCAGAAAAAAATAATAATATATATATTTATTGGGCGAACGGTAATGAAGTTGGGAACCTGATACCGCGCTTGCAGCATCCAGTAGAAAGCTGCGCGCGCTCTGCGGGGCGGGTGCTCGAGCGAACTCAACACTGTCACATTTCACTGCCATCCTGTCAAGAAACTTTAAAAACATTTTTGGTTGAGCTTATTTTAAATACTCGAATAAGGTGGATGCTGGCTCTGGTTGAGTGATTTGAAATGAAGTGCGTCCTTGGTTGTTACGTGGACTTCTGTGCAGGGGTTATTATTATTATTAGTCTTATCTTTCCTTTGGCTCACGGGACTCCGTCGAGATATAGTCTGTTCCAGGGCAGTGCTTATTCCAGCTCTGTTTCAAGACAACGAAACAAGTAAGTAAATGGCAGCATATTTGTGCAAACATATGTCATTAATTTAAAAATGCAGGAACAAATGTGTACAGTAGGCTACCATTGTTTAACTAAGATTAACGAACTAGAAATAGCATCCCTTTGGAGAACTAGTTATAAACTTGATACAGTTTCGTAATTAATGTGAAACTAATGCAGGACAAATGACTAGCGCTAACATTAACATTTTAACCTGTTAACGAATAACTTATTCAAGATTGTTTGGTAACGCTTCCTTTCACAGTCCAGTTACAATACTATGTACTTATTTTAGTAACTACTACAATTACTGGGTAATAACTAGTACTAACTCTGAACCTACCCCTGTTCTATGTACTTACCCTATATTAGCCAGTACTTTCTAGGTAAGTACACTATAAGTACGATTGTTTTTATGTCATCAACAGGTAATAGCAGGTATTTGATGTGGGTAAACTGGTAATAATTCGTTTATTTTCTCCTATAGAACTAGCTCTGGATAATTTCAAAATGAGTTGGGTTTCTCCCTTCTAAATTCATCCTTATTTGTTGGCCTATCAATTTCCCCCTCACACTATTATTATTATGCTATACAGGCCCCACTTAAAAGAAGACAGCTCCTTTTCTCACTGAATCCCTAGTCAGATACTGCACTGTAACATTTCAAGTCACATAACCTTAAATGACAAAAAATGGTAACCTATGCAGTGATATAGGCTATTGATTTAAGCCCAGAACTGGTATAGTTGTAACATACATAGGGAGAGTTTTAACACCACCAAATCAGGATTACTCACTTCCTTACAGATCCCAAATGCCTATGCTTTTAAATTGGCACATTTGACCATTTTTTGACCAACACTATATTTTGTTGTTTACTTAAACCTTTGCAGATAAAATCGTTTATATTAGATTAAATTGTAGTTCATCAGGGCAAAATATGATGAATTTTAACTGCCAATTTCCAAGCATCACGGCTAGCTAAACACTGGCTGACAGGGGTGAGGTGTTACACATCTTTTAAAACAGTGTTTCAACAATCCCCTTATATATATGTCTAAGAACAGTTTATTTTATAAATAATTTTACAGAATGCCAAGACAGTGGAAAAGAAAGATAGATCGAGGTGTGCCTGCCAGTGTCATTTAAAAAAAAAAAAAAAAAAAAACTCATGAGGTTTCAAAGAAGTGCTGGTCAGTCAGATCAGTTGCAAAGACAAAGTTGAAAGCCAGTGGTGAGGATTCTGCCAAGGTGAGACCTTGGACCAGTAGGCAACTCAAAGCCAAAGGAAGTGTGGGTAAACGTCTCCACCAAGCCTACACTCAAGGGTTAACAACATTCATTTTTCACCACTGATTGAGAATATTCACACAAACTCACACACATATTGACAGTTTTTTTAGTCAGCCGAGTGTTCATTAAGCATAAAGTAAATACTGTACTTTACTCTAAGTTTGTTCTACACTGTAAAAAATATTGTTGGTTTAACTTGGTTGCCTTAAAACTTTAAGTTCATTGAAATTGAAAGATTGAGTTAATACAATGAAGGAGATTGATTTAATAATAAGAAACTCAAAATATTATGTTATCTGATCCTGAACCACATAAATTATCTAAGTTGATTTGACAGAAGAAAAAAGTTCTAAATCATGATTTTTTTTTTACAGTACACTGCTTTATCTAATCAAAAAAATTGTGGCAACAGATTACAAGCAATATTAATAATTAAATTTTGAGTTCTCATTAATCATTGAGTTATCAAAATAAAGAGTTCTTAATTAATCTTTGACGTCTATTTGTTAGTGAGATATTTTGTTAACTTTTTTTGGTGTAAACTTTACTCATTTTAAATGGTTAACTTTTAAGGAATAATTTAATTAATTATTACTCAATTCTTTTTTGTTAAATTTAATTAATAATATTGCTTGTAATCTGTTGCCACAATTCTATTGATTAGATAAAGCATATTCATTTTTACAGTGTAGTACACTACATGTCTACTGTTTTTACAAACTACAAACCTGTTTTTGAAGGGTTTTGTATGGTGTGGCCACTGCTTTTTCTTAATTTTTACTACTTACCCCGATCGTGGATCAGAGGTTTAAATTGGGGATTTGTGGGTGTTTTATATAAAAGTTTGAGTTGCAGATCCTGAAGCAAAAAGTGTTACAACATACCCGCTTTCCCCTATTCCTCACAGACATATGGTTTCTCCTGTCTTGCTTCAATTATGCTTTTTTTTTACTTTAATTATGTTCCAAATAATTAGTAATTTCTTCTAAAGGATTTGGTAATGGGTGCTACCCAGCTAATAAAGTATGGTCTAAGAACATTCTGTTAACATTCCCATTAAGCTATGAAGTTTTTTTCTGAATGCTATTTGACGTCCAGTTTTTAAAAGGTCATAAAAGCTTTTTTTCTTGGTTCTACAAACATTAAATGAGCAACATCTGTGCGAACATTATGGGAATGTTACTTTTGAATGTTCTGCAGCGTTTTTTAAAAAGTTAGACGAATATCCAACTAAAGAAAAAAGTGGAACGATGTCATTTTTTTTGCCTTTTTTTGACTTTGAACAAATGTGTGAGTTTATTCATAACTTTAAGTGAAACATTTGCCAGAAGTGTCTGAGAATGTTCCCGGTTAGCTGGGTATTTTCTTGGGTGTACAGTGTTTGTTTTGATCGTTCTTTACTCTTTTGCAGAA